TTGTCTGTCTCGCTCTGCTTCTGTCTCTCTCTCTCTTTCTCTCTCATTCTCAACTTTTCCATCTTTCCGATCCCCTCTCTCCTTTTTTCTACCTCTCTCTCTAGCCCTACCTACCTACCTACCTACCTACCTACCTACCTACCTACCTACCTACCTATCTATCTATCTATCTATCTATCTATCTATCTATCTATCTATCTATCTATCTCTGTCTCTTTCTCTCTCTGGGCCTTCATTTCTCTTTGCTTCTCCCTTTCTCTATCTTATGTCAAGTACGCAGAGGATCTATTTAATAATCACTGTTCCCCGCAGCGAGACCTAATCATTCATCATCATCCGGTGCCTTGCCGACTGGCGTGGGCGATCATGGACCTCCACTTCCATCTGTCTTTCTAAGCAGCAATGGTGTCTGTTGTTCTTGCTGCTCCCAGCCATGTTGTCATCTTGTCCAGTATTTTTTCCCTCTGTCTACCTCTACCTTTCTTTCCATCAAACTTTCCTGTTGTTACAATGTTCTCTAATGCTTCTTTCCGCATTGTGTGTCCGAAAAAATTTGCCTGTCGTTTTCTTATATTCGTGATAAGTTGTTTTCTATAATTTGCTTCAACCAGGACTTCTTCATTTGATTTTCTAGCTGTCCATGGGATACGTAGCATGCGTCTCATGAACCACAACTCTGCCGCAATAATTGTTTTTTCCAGCTGTTTATTGATTGTCCATGCTTCGCACCCGTATAATAGGATTGGCTCGATGTAGCTTTTCATTACTCTTTTCCTCATTTCCAGTGACAGATTGATGTTTGTTAGTATCTGTTTCATCTTGTGGAAGGTTGCTTTTGCTTGGCAAATGCGGTTTTTAATTTCGGTGTGACATCTACCATCTGATGATATAATGGTCCCCAAATATCTAAAATGTTGTACTTGCTTGAGGGTGGTATCATTGATTTTGATATTGCATGTTGGGATTGGAGTATTTCTAATCATTATAAAATTCAAATTATAGCCTCGCGGGGACGTGATAAGTGCAAAACAGATCCTTAAGTTTTTATGCAGTTATCTCCCCTGGTTAAAAGCTTTCCTCTGAATTTAATTTTGCTTGGAAATTACTGCAGAAACTACCCAGCAAGAAAACTGAATTGCACCTGCCTCTGCCGAATGAAAATTTAGCCTAGGGGCCATTTAATTGGCAGGTGGTCATTACATCTAAAGGCAAGTCGAGTGAGGCTCTGAAAATCCTTTTTCATCTACGGAAAAACAGGTTGCGTTTTTCGCCCTAGGAAGCCGTTACCTAGGATTCAATTATTCGCGTCATCTAAACGGCCCGTTTTCCCTCAGATTAACCGCCTTATTTCTCTCTCTCTCTCTCTCTCTCTCTCTCTCTCTCTCTCTCTCTCTCTCTCTCTCTCTCTCACACACACACACACACACACACACACACACACACACACACACACACACACACACACACACACACACACACACACACACACACACTCCCTCTCTCTCTATCTCTCTCTCACTTTCCCTCTCCCCCCTCTCTCTTTCTCTCTCTCTCTCTCTCTCTCTCTCTCTCTCTCTCTCTCTCTCTCTCTCTTTCTCTTCCCTTGCAATTTCAATTTATTTCTTTAAAATGAGCAGGGAAGGGGCACAGAAGAAAAGAAAGTGGGAAGGGGTGTCCAAGCCACCCCCCGCCCCCTTTCCAGATGCTCTAAAGACATATTTCTCTTTTTCAATCAGATTTCCTCACGGTTTGCCGGACCATTGCTAGGGGAGTGGAGAGACAACGTTTAGCGGCCCTGCAGGACCGGTTGACAAAGGCTGGGAAGGCGTCCAGATTTGTCACCGACTCCACTCGTCATGTGCGAGGCCTGCAAAGCGTCACATCCGACCTGAGGTCGCTGGTGGGCCGCGCTGAGGTGGTACTGGGATCCCTGCCACAAGTGGTGAAGAAAGTCACGGGAGTTTCCGCTTGTGTCAGCGCCGTCGGGTGTGAGTGAGGAATAATATAATGCCTGAAATATAAAAGTATTGAGATAAGCTCTCTGGCATTTGTTGTTGTTGTTGTTGCTGTTGTTGTTGTTGTTGTTGCTGTTAGTAAAGCTTTTTATTGATGTTGATGTTGGTGATGTAGCTGTGTTGTAGGGGTTTTTTTTGGTCGTTGTTTTACTGCTACTGATAGTGACGTTGTTTTTGTTCGTGCATCTTCGAGTACGTATGCGTACGCACGGAACACAGTTTTCATTTTAAAGTTGGTGGCTTAATTCTTATTCTTCTTTTATGTGAAGGCACTTATCGGATGAAGGAAAAAGTAACAAAGAAAAATTATAAGAAAAACATTATGGATTTGCAAAATTTTGTAAATATACATTCACGTAAATTACGGTTTATGGAAAGAACGTTGGAAATACCCTTTGCTCAGTCATTCTGTTTCGTCTCTTGCATTGCCTTTTAATAATATGATGTCTTGAAGATGATACCTACTGTCAGATATTATAGATTCTCTAGAAAACCCTCCACGTGTGTTGTGCTCGCCTTGATTAATTGTGTACGTCCCTCTTATGTGCATGAAATTATCTGTTTGGGAAAAAAATGGCTAGTAGCGTTTGATTTTCAACTTGCTTTCAAAACAGCATACATAATCATCTCATAGCGATATTTTGAACAATATTGTTGTCTAGGTCACTTGCTCATGCATTCAGAATAAACTTTGAGAACAAGGGTGAATCTTGGTGAAAAAACCCACAAACTAAATGGTTATTTTATAGTTCTTAAATCACTGCACCCATGATGGGTTCTAGATATTAGTTGTTCTTTGTCTTAGAAGTTGCATCGGCCTCACGGCACTGGTAATGAATGACTGAGAAAAAGGCGAGTGGATATTTTGGAGTTTATTGTTGGGTCTAATGGGGAGTGTGATTGTTTTTTGTTGTTGGGTTTTTTTTTTGGTTGGGGGAAGGGGGGAGTAGGGGGGGGGGGAGAAAGAGAACACTCTAAATAACAGCTGGAAACAAATCAAATTTATAGAAGCAAGTACGTATAAGGAGGGTGTGGGGGAGAGAGGAGGGGGGATTAGGAGGGGATTGCTTTCTACAGTGACCTTGACGTCGATGGTTCCTGCACGCGCGTGAAATCATGCAGCTCACGCGCGTGCGTTGTGGCGTGGTTGTGGGAGAAGATCGTGAGGCGATGACAGAGGGGAGACCCAGCATTGTTCGCTTCCCATCCCCACTCTCTCTTTTTAATCAGTTACCAGTGCGGCAACTGACAACCTAAATCTGTCAAACAATGCAAAATGCAAAAAGTTTCTACCAAATGGAGTAATGTGCTCGGTAATACCGTTTGTAGTTGAGAAAAGGTGAGTAGGCTGCTTTTCTCAGATTAGATTTTTCAGTAACAACATGACGATGTACTGAGGAAGAAAACCATGGTTCCCATTCTCTGGTTTCAATCTGTTTCAGCAATATCAGTACTGCAGTTTGTGGTTGAATAAATCCTGTACGAGTGTCTGTGGTATAGTAGTTAGCCTCTTCTTAGTTACAGGCAGAAGAAATGAGTTCGATTCCCGTTTGGGAAAGTACTTAATTGAATATCAACTGTAAGGTTGGTTTGGAAATGACAAGCGGGATATCCAAACAGCCCGCCTTTAATTCAAACGATCTCAGTTGTATTTATAGTGTTGCAACATCTAACCGGTTTACTTATAATCTGTTAATAAAGCCTGCAACGCTTTCAAATCCATGTTATGGGTATTGTAAGTTCGCATGAGAAGTTATAATAATTGATATCTGACAACATCGAACATACGGCCTTGACTAACGCTGGGCACCCGGATAAATCCATTCCAAGGAGGTAATTTTCTTTAATATTTCAAGACGGTGTACCTTTTACCCGCAGCCCTGGGAATATGCATTATTATTTAAACATTATTGGATTGATAACCCCTCCCATTTCTCTCTCTCTCTCTCTCTCTCTCTCTCTCTCTCTCTCACACACACACACACACACACACACACACACACACACACACACACACACACACACTCTCTTTCTCTCTCTCTCTCTCTCTCTCCCTCTCTCTCTCTCTCTCTCTCTCTCTCTCTCTCTCTCTCTCTCTCTCTCTCTACCGGTCTATCTGTATCTTTTTTCTGTCTGTCTGCCCGTCTATCTGTCAGTCTGTCTGCCCCCCCCCTCCATCTCTTTCTCTGTCTGTCTCCCCACCCCCCCCCCCTCTCTCTCTCTCTAGCTCTGTTTCCTGTCCCCCCTCCCCCTTTTTTTACCCCAAGGTCCAGTAAGGTCCTGTGTTGGTGGGAATAATACTGTTCTTGTTGAATACTCACAACCGTCCTTTAACACTAGCAGAATGAAACAGACGAAGCCGTCATTTATCGTATACCAGCAATTTCACCTCATTAACGCCAAGAATTTTTCTCGCTATTTAGGACAAAATACAAAGAAACGTTCAACCAGCCTTGGTTTCATTTCTGATACAGCTAATATTTCTTCTGTGTGTAATATTTTTTTTCTTAAGATACAAACAATGCCTAACCATGGTAGATGGTTTTTATTATTCTTTTCATTTATTTGTTTATTAATTTTCGTTTTAGGTATTACGACACTTTTTCGGAAATGAGAAATAATAGAAAAATTTGACCACTATTTAGTGACCTATGTCCAACTACTTTAGTGAAGAAAACTCATTTCCAAGGATTGCAATACTATGCCAGTGAAAATGCCCCTTAAAAAATAAACACCTTCTTTAAGTCTTTCAGAATAACACTGCTCGGTTTGTCCTAAAAAGAACAAAAGAGACTCAGCATCACAACCCTTAGACTCATAACATCTCTACATGCTGCAGGTTAAAAAGAGAATCACGTATAAACTGTCCACTTTTTGTCATACATGTTTGAACGGTATTTCACCTCCATGACATTAATATTTAAATCTTTGAGGGCGTGCGTACTGGCCATTCTTCAACGCTTGAATATATTATGCTGTTTTGGGGCACTTAACTTTTTCTCTGCAAGGACTGGCACCGTCTTGAGCGGCTGAGTAGGATTATAGAATTGATTTTGCAATTAAAGGATTAATAGCAGCAGTTGAGCTTCTTTAATTTACACATATTGTTCTTTTTAAAAAATCTGAAACTTAAAAAGGCAGGCAGAAACATGCATACTATGTAATATTATAATTCACTGAAGTGTTCAGCAACATTGCCTTTGGTCTGGTGCTGCTGATCTGACATGTGTCGCATCCGTTCTTAAAGAGTTTAAAAAAATACTACTGACCCTTTACATTCCATCAAGATAGTTTAAGTCTTCAACAGACACCTCCAATCAAATAGGAATACTCAAGTTGAATTCCAAGATGGCAGATTTTTTAAAAAATGGCTGGCCCTTAAACATGGAACACATTCTTGCTTTAAAAAAACTGAAAAAAGGAAAGAAAAGAGAATACAGTTCCTTCCAACATACGGATCTGGAAACACATCTCATTAAATCTTTTCTACTGTCGTCACTCTCTTTCATTGCAGCGAATGTTCTCGCATTTCCCTTGTCTGTGTACTATCTATTCTAAATAACTGTACAGCGCTAAGAGCGTGTTTCATAACGGATAGGACATTGTATGAATGTTGTTAATTAATTATCATCATTATCATTATTATTATTTTTCTTCATCTTATTATTATAATTATTATTATTATTATTTCCTTATCATTATCATTATCTTAATTATTATTAGTAGTAGTAGTAGCCGTAGTGGTATAATTGTTGTTGTTGTTGTTATATTATTATTACTATTATTATTATCATTATTATTATTATTGTTGTTGTTGTTATTATTATTTATTGTTATTATTATTATCATCATTATTGTTATTATTATTATCATTATTATTATTATTATTATTATTATTATTATTATTATTATTATTATTATTATTAATATTATTCATTGTGTGTTTTAATTATTTTGTTTTGTTCATATTGCAGTATTATCTATTTGTGGTTGCCAAATTTTGCAATTCAAAAGGCTTTTTAATGGCTGTATCGATCGACATATATATATATCATAGAGGCGCCTAAAACATACTTGAAAATGTATTCACCCAATCATCCTCTTAAAGCCTTGTAATACCCACTCACGCAGCATACCAATTTAAAGCAACAACAAAATTCTGGACTATCTGACACATAACTATTTTATCTATGTTGAGAGTAGCCCGAGATATGGTCACTCAAATTGACCTTTAAAAAATTAAGCTTGGCTGAAGTGTGCCAAATCAAAGAAGCGTAACAGTGTGTTTGTGCGTGTTGAGGTGCATCAACATTGGCGGAATGGACATGTATTGAATATCAAATAAATCGAGATATCCATTAGAACAGCATGGCCTGATGCTGTTTTCAAACAGACTGAAAAACAGAGCGGTCGCAAATATCACGCAAAACCTGGCCGTACCATTACATGTGCTCATTAATATTTTGTTTAGGAGAATTTGTTTCGTGTAGAGCACGAAACCTTTTTTGAACATGAACTGTTAGATTTTGGACATAACGGAGGTGCCCTCACGAGAATCACCGGATGGCTTGGTTTAGTGAACTTCATCGCGCAAGTACTAGAAAGTCATGTCTTGCCATTATTTTCGACATGGTGTCAATCGGGGAGTCATCTCCATACATGACAAAGCAGTTTCTCACTGGGCCAATTCCGCCAGTCAATTCATGGAAGACCAGATCATGCCAACTTGGAATGGTCACCAGAAAATAGCCCCAATGTGAATCCTACATGTATGTTAAACCCCCATGAAACTGCAGTTGAAGAAAAGCGATTTTGCCCCTAATTCAGACCCTTTGTTTGCAACTCTCTGTGGCATTTGGGAACAACTGACAGATATAATGTTCAAAATGTTATAGTCTAAGCCCAAACGGTTTGATGGTAATGGTTAAATCAAGAGCAATACCATCCCCCCCCCCCGGGCCAGTGCCACTGACTGAAGTGTCTTTACGCCATTCCCAAAGTGGGGACATTTCTCGTTCAAGCATAGTAGAAATGTAAATGGGCTGACTCATGTCACGCTCATTACTGTGCCTGATCTACAACAGGGAACTGCTGCCTTTTCTTTCCTGATCCTTACTATTGTCATTTTCCTCTACTTCTTTTGTATGTTTGCCACTATCTTGTGACCTGCTATTTTGGGGTGCCTATTGATAGTGGAAGCAGACCTTGTGCTGTTGAAGCTAGAGAGGTGAACAGTCTGAGTCTGATTCCCTGTAAAGACTTTTCTGTTGACATCCATCCCTTGGCGCTTATGTGACCTTATGCAGTTGCGAGCGCCGAAAAACCCTCTACTATAAAAAAAAAACAAGAGCAATGATAACGTCGTTAGCAGTAACAGCAAAAAAAGCAGAAGACTGCCATGGTACTGAGTAGAGAGAGAGAGAG